CACACGAGGCGCGGACGTGCGGAGAGAGGAAACTTAAAATCGTGGGCAAAAAAAAAAAAAACGTTTGAAAAAGGTTGACGAGATCGGTAGTTTAGAATGCGGAAAAATAGATTCTCATCACGTTTTAGAAATTGAGGTTGGTCTAGACTAGCGTTGTGTAATTATTACAGCTGGGAAGATTAGCTACCAGCCTCAATATTGCTTCCAAGAAAGACATGAGCAAGATTTTAGAGCCACGGTTTTGGTTATTCGAAAAATGAAGTACAAATAACAGTGCACGTGTACATGAAGTAACCTCATTGTAACCACTTGACTTTTATTTTGACTATTTTCATAAACAAACGTGTTATGTTCTCCGAGGGCATGCTTATAAATGCCAGTCAATATCGGTGCGGAAATATTCAGTGTAAATAAACGAAGAGCTCACTGAAAGCGTTCTGTTGTCAGCACGATTTCGTTATTCCCTCGCTGAACATTTTCTTATTTCTGGGAAAAACGTCTTCCAATACACACTGAATTCGATAGGCAAAACTTCCCCCCGCCAAGTTACTGATAATAATTATCGATTTTTATTTTCAGAATATTTCTGTTTTCTTTAATTTTTCAATGATAAGTTCTCATGGTTACTGATTTTCATTTTTACTTTTCATTTTTTCCTTCTTTTTTTTTTTTTTTACCTTTTCTGTAACTTTGGTTTTGAGAATGTAGCGGTAGATCAAGATAGTTAGAGCTTGCTCTTTAGCTCACAGATTTGTTTTATCAGTCATCGACCGCTGCCGACTTTGTAATGTTGTGTTAGTACCTTGACTAACTCTTATTCCTAGCTGCTCAGTACCTGAAGTACCTGAACTACCTGTTGATATTTTTCACTTGTAATCGATCAGAAAATCACTGGTCACGTAAAAAAAAACAGAGAAACCAAACTTTTCCATGCAAATTTTTTTAGTCACTTGCTTCGAGATGTACTTAACCTGGTAAACAGTGAAGCTTTCGTTGTGTAGTTTTTTTCAGCCCGTATTCGTTTGGTTATCATTGACAAACGAACGTAGGCTGAAGATGTTTTGAAGTATAAAAAGCATCGTCTGTATAGGTTCTTGCGAGAGCCACTTTACATTAATTCATAGTACCTATCTACCCACAGGATTGCACAGAAATGGGACCAGCGGAACTTTCTCGGCTGGCATTGTTGAGTCACAGGATAGAACCAAAACGGCTTTAGTTTCCCTTAGACTCACCCTCAACTGAAATCAGATACCATTACGTGTGTAAGTGAAATGAAAGTAGAGCTTTCATTTCTTACTGGCGCTACGGTAAATCTGCTGGTTAAACACTACTATGGCACCATTTAATTGAAAGCTATTATCAGCAATACTTTCATGGTCTTCGGTTTTCTACAAGGTGGCAATGGTTGTGGATCTTATCTGGGTTTTGCACGTTGTGAATGGAAGAAAGCTGTTGAGTTGTATTTTTTAAAAATGTGAAACCTTTGGTCCAATATACGTTTATTTCAACAGGAAATTTGATATTTGTTTTATCCTGCTTAAAACCCTCTACTTCAGCTTACTTTCTATCCTCGACAGAGACCAGATAAGACTGACCGTTTGGGTCGGCAGTTGAACTAGGTGGCTAGCTTTAACTTAACGTCTGGGGATTTCTTTTAGAATTGGTCTTTTTGACGTGAATTAGCCATAAATTGGGTTAAACAGAAGCATTAAATAAATAATCTATGGGAGTAAGCGAGAATTCAAACTCTACCTCAGAAAGACGTTCCAAAATTAAAGTGGTCACTGCTACCGGCTTGCTCCTATTCTACAAGTCAGTATCACAATTGAAGCCAGAGAGAGTTTGTTTTGTTCCAGTCTGCAAGAGTAAACAACACACGATTTTTTTNTAGTATGGTTATTATTCTCGCATAGGGTTGAAAGTTAACGTTTAAAGGATTTGCCCTCTACCAAAAAAAAAGAACAAGAAAAAGAAGAAAATAGTTTTCTGCCTAAAATAGACCCATGGCAACAACGATATCGCCTTTCAGACAAAATCTGTATTCACTTACTCTTGAGGACGAGGAAAAAGTGCTTGGCTTTCGTCCTAGTTTCAGTCCTGTCGGTGGAATTTGCTCCTGCGAAACTCGACCAGAAAACCGTCTAATTGTGAATTTCTGACGCTTTTTG